CTCCTCATCGGACAGCCGGAGCCCCGGGGATGTGGGTGAGTGGGAGAGGGAGGCATGGCCAGCCTCGCCTCACCCTGTCCGTGCCGGGGTCTGGTGCCATTGCATCGCACCCCGTGCCACCGTGTGACAATTGGGGAGCATTAAATTATGGTTTTGTGGTGCCAGTGGGGAATTCAGCTCCCGGGGAGGTGATTAATGCTCCTGCTTTCCCCTCCCTGCAGAGGCTGCCCAGCATCCATCCTGTGAGACAGAGACCTCCTCCGACTGGGAGCCGCAGGACCTGGATATGGGCGCTGCCTGCGGCTCCCCGCGCTCCCCCAGGGCCCTCTGCAGGGCACTGGTGAAGGGGCTGAGGAACAACGAGCCGGTGCAGTGGGAAGTCACGTTTGACATCCACCCTCTGTTCCGGGAGCGGGAGAGCCACGAGGATGCTGACACAGACCTGTGGAGTGAGACCTTCCACCACCTGGCAGCCAAGGCACTCATCCAGGACCTGGAGCAGCTCGCTGAGAGGGAGTGTGAAATCGAGCATGGTAATGCACAGCTGGCTGCAGGCAGACCCTGCCCGGCCTCGGGAGGGCTTTCCAGCAGTTTCAGCAGCCTCTGGAGTGAAAACAAAAGCTGCTGGTGGTGAAATATTAGGGAATGTCTCACACAGCTCCCAAATAATGTCTCCCTTCAGCTGCCTTGTGCTCTTCTGCTTCTGCAGCCTTGCTGCACATGATCATTCCTGAAGTCATGTTCCTTCCCACTCCTCAGAAGCAGGGGTTGGACTTCATGGTCCTTGAGAGTCCCTTCTGACTCAGTATGTTCCATGATTCTGTGATCCCTCTGCTTCATGCATGAGGTAACATGGTTATTTTTAAGGAGTTGGTCACTTGGAGCTGGGAAGTGACATCCAGCTCCAGCAGCAGCCACACATCACTGCCATGGGCCACACATGTCAGCCCTGTCCTCCATGAGGTGCTCTGGCCTTGTAAAATAACAGCAGGAGCAGCAGTAGGCAGAGTTTAGAGAGATAAAGGGATGCAGCCCCAGCTGGGCATGGATCCCAGCATGGGGGTGGGGGACCCTTGGGGCCCATGGATTCTGACCCTGCTGTCCCTGTGTGGCAGAGTCTGGGAGCTGGGTGTGCTGGGTGTGAGGAGTTGAGGAGCCCTTGGGGCCCATGGACTGTGACCCC